TGATCCTACAACAGTTTGGGTTGGCACATTCTCCCGAGCCCCAGCTCTCTGTGTTGTCCTGCATGTTTTATCATCATTTTTTGTGAGTCGAAGCATAAGTGACATGCATTGCAAATTCGATCAAGTAAGCTGGTCTGCAGAGATGGGCAATAACGATCATATGGTTGTACTTTGAAAACTCCTGTTGATCTCGGCAAGGCTATACATAAAGCAAGGCATCGCAACAGCATACTAGCGCTCCTAGCGAGAGGAATCGTGAACAACACATTCAGGAGATACGCATTTCATGCTATTTTGACATAAAACTAATTCAAATGTTCACAAAATGTGTGAAAATTTAATTTTAAGCCTATTAAATTCTACTAAAAAATATAAAAAATAAATTTGAAATAAAATTTAAAAAAAATAATTATCTGACGTCACATATGGCCTGACCCCCCTCACCCTGTCACAAACTGTCACACTTTCTTACACCCATTCCCCCTGGAGCGTGACGTACTTTATGGACGGTCCCTAATGGTTATGAGGTGTCTAGTGGCGATCTCATGCAGATGAAACTATTTACTGAGCATGGAGGTAGTTGTTATCAGTTAACCGTTTCGTCCCAGCTGCTTCTTAAACTTGTTACGAGCTAAAAACCCACGATAACAGTCTCCATTGGAGGGCGTCTGACGCTTCCCCGGGGATGGGCATGGGAGAGAATTTAGGACGTATGTACGCCATCACTACCCCTTTGGAAAGTCGACTGCTGACCTTCTGGATGCTTTGGGCTGGGGTGGCCTACGTTGGGTACCCAATCGAGTGGGTGATGGCAGGGGGGCTGCCCTTGCGATTGAAGATCTCCAACGTGGTGCTTCGCGGCCCGATACCCGGGCTTAGGTGGGGAGGGGATGCTTTGTGGAGGGCATACATATCTTGGTACTTAACTCGAAGGCTCGCTGACGCAATTGTTTAATGTATAATTTCAGTATTCCTTACACATTCCTTCTTTACCATGCACCCGTGTTCTGGTCATATTTAAAAACAATTATAAATTGTCAGATTCAAATATTAACTTACTCTAACTCGGCTTCATCAACTTCGGAGGTATTCCACTACAGGGCTCACGTCTTACTTATAGACATATCATTCTTTTTATGTACCCTAAAAACATTGTTAAACCGTTATTTATTATTTATGTACGTTACTTTCTTTACTTTTTGCTATGCTATTAGGTCGTACTTTTTAAAGACATGCTTACAATTCTAGCATGTGGGAATATTGCCGTCTGTAGATCTGGACAATGTGTCGTAGAGCTGGACAAGTGAGAGTATATCCGTCTGTATATTTATTTGGACAATGTGACGTAGAGCTGACGATGCAAGGATGCCACAGTCTGTAGATCGGGACAATGAGACGCAGAGCTGAACATGTGAGAATACTGCCGTCTGTAGATCTGGACAATGTGACGTAGAGCTGCCGATGCAATAATTCTACAGTCTGTAGATCGGGGCAATGCGACGTAGAGCTGAAAATGTGAGAATACTGCCGTCTGTAGATCTGGACAATGTGACGTAGAGCTGCCGATGCAATGATGCTACAGTCTGTAGATCGGGGCAATGCGACGTAGAGCTGGCTATGAGAGAATGTTGCCGTCTGTAGATTGTTAACGACTTGGCCAATGTTTGTCCGTGTACTCTGTTCATTGTGATCGTATGAGCTGGAATGATGGGACATTGTCGAGGCTCTAGAATAAAAGGTAGTGCTGTATCTCATGGAGCCTAATCCATTCTCGCATTTAATTAATTAATAATACATGGATATGAGCAGTATCTAATTACAGTTTTAACGCTAAGTCCCTACTATTTCTATTGGTGTTTTTTTTTTTTTGCGATTCTATAATGCAATAAATTATTACATGTTTAAAGATACAAATTATATCTATACAAATGGGTGTTGTGTTGCAAGCTGTTATATAGATTTTGTTAAAATATAATTTTTTGTTTGTTTGTTAAAATATATATATATATATATTTTTTTTTTTTTTTTTCAAGTCACCAACTTCATTCAATAATCACAATAATATTTTTCAGTCATACTGTCACAAGCAGGTTTTCTTTTTTTTTTTTAATGGTCCAATTCTCTATTTTTTTAAAATATAATTTTTTTTTTTTTTTTTAAAATATATATATATATATATTTTTTTTTTTTTTTTTCAAGTCACCAACTTCATTCAATAATCACAATAATATTTGTCAGTCATACTGTCACAAGCAGGTTTTCTTTTTTTCTGGTAAGGGTCCAAGTCTCACTAGCGTATGTTACCACTGGTCTTATTATAGTGATGTATATTGTCTTCTTTGTTCCTCTTGAGTGATTTGTGCTTTCCAGTAGCGTTTGTAGGCTGAAATAGCAAAGGTTGACTGCCGTTATCCTTTCTTTCATCTTCGACATTATTTCCTTGTGCTCATTTGTAGTTGCCCCTAGATATTTGTCAACAAACTGCCTGCATTGATTCTGATATGAAGGGCATGTATCGTAAACACAACAATGCACTTTGACCCTTAGATGTCTTATCAAATGGGATGATAAGAAACAGTGTTTGATTTCATATGATTAAACAAGGATTTGATTAATGACATTTGTGATGAAATATGGGGGGGGGGGAAGGGATGAGATAGCAGGGGCATTTAAGGGAGGGAAGGATAGTGACATAATGGGACATTGCAGCATTGTCATAATGGAAGGAGGTCGCGGAGGGCTCGCGGAGGGTTGATACGTTATGTTGATCCCTAGAAGTAAGGATCGAAGTCGAGTGTTATCTAGATTTTTTTTTTTTTTTTTTTTTTTTTTATTTTTTAGCCTCGCTGTAATGGTGTAAGTCATAAGTGGCGAGACCTCTAAAATTATAAATGATTTTTAAAAAAAAAAGTTTTTTGATGATGTGTTTAGGGTTGAAGGAACGCATTTCAGTTTGTTTTTTTTTGAAGTTTAAACTAAACAAAATCTTAACATTATAATAGAGTGTACTAAATTAAACATTTGTGTAAATTACTAATTTTTTAACATGATGTCTAAATGAGTTGGAATGATAAACTATGAATGTACTATTTTGTCATAATATTTGTTAACATATGTTTTGAATTATGTTTTGTATTTTAAATCTAAAAAGTGTTTCTAATATAATGTCTGTGTAATTATGTTTGTGGAAAAAAGCCTTAAGTCTGTGGTGCCATACATGTTTTCTGTATTGTGAAAGTAATATCAGACTTATTGTGTGTTGTTTCTTGTTTATTGATGCTGGTATTGTGTTTAATGTTATAGCTCTGTCTATATCTACAGGGTGAACTGTACCTGCTTGTATGATTTGTTTAAGTGTAGATTTAGTCTGCAATATTGTGTTGCACGTCAGATATAAATGTTGTTCTGTCTCATCAGCCCCCGTCCTGCAGAGGGGACATTCCATGTTCCTAACCCTGTCCTTGTATGGTCTTGACGATACTGGTGTCATGTTGTATATGAGTCTATATGTTATTTCTTTGTCTTTATTTTCGATTTCTTTAATGTGTGTATTTTTAAATGTATTCTTAGTGTTTATTGTTCCATAAACATGTGTCCATTTTATCCTATTGTAGAGTGGTGTTGCTTGTTTCTTTATTAAATGTGTGTAAATTTCTTTAGTTGTCTTGTGTATAAGTGTTTCGTTGCCTTTTAATGCTTGAATGAATGCCATATGAAAATCCGATTGTTTTCTTCCCATGTAATGGGGTGTGTTGTTATCAATTTTTATTAACTGTCCTAGCCTTATCCCAATGTAATAATGTGTAAATAAATTTTCCTCCTTCTTTCTAATGGCTTGTCCTATAAATTTAATTCTAAGTGCTTTCAGTTTTGTTTGTATGTCTTGTAAATTAATCCCCCCTTCTAGTTTAGATTGGATTAAAGTTGTATTTTTAATGTTTTGTATTGTTCCTTGAAATATGTAATTCCTGATGTGTAAGTTTATTTGTCTTAAAATGGTTGGTGGAGGTCCCCATATGTTCCCTGTGTATATTGTTTTAGGAATTACATATGTGTTTATGATTGTGCTCCGGCCAAAAATTGAGTGTGCTGTGTATTTATGTCTGTCAATTATCTTTTTTATTGATTTTTCAATGTTTTGCCATGTTTCTGTGTTAGTTTGAGTCTGTTTGTTTGAAAAATAAATGCCATATATCCTAAGACTATCTTTCCTTACGATTTCTAAAGGGAAATCTAGTCTATCTTTCCACTTACCTATCCCCATAATTTCAGATTTAGTTACGTTTATTTTAGACCCACTACCTCTTCCAAATTCTTGAAATATTGGTATTATTTTTGAAATAGACTTATTATCAATAGGAAAAAAAAATTGTGTCATCTGCATATGCAATGACTTTTGTTTCATTACCTCCAGGGATCCTTACTCCTTTAACACTCTCCTCCCTTCTGATGCTCTCTAACAAAGGTTCAAAGTATAGGATATAAAGGTAAGGGGAAAGGGGACACCCTTGTCTAACTGACCTGTCAATTTTAATGTCTTTTGAAAGTGTGTTGTTAATTATAAGATTACTAATGGGGGACTTGCATAAAATTTTAACCCAATTACAAAAATAATCCCCTAGTTTGTTGTGTTGTAATATTTTATGTAGGTATTTATGGTCTACCCTATCAAAGGCTTTTTCTTGGTCTAGAGATAATATGCAAGTTTGGATGTTTTTGTCATTTGAATATTGAATAAGGTCTCTAATGAAATGATTGTGGTTCTGGATGTCCCTACCTTTGATGCTGCATTGTTGGTTTATATGTATTAAAGTATTTAAATGTGGTTTTAATTTATTTGCTAGAGTTTTTGTGAGAATTTTATAGTCTGTGTTAAGTAAAGTTAAAATATAAGACTGAGACAACGTTATTGCAATTGACGACCTTAATGCGACAATTGCCTAACAATTAACTTACCTTGAAATAGAATCATAGTTTTTAACAAAATCCAAATGTATTTAAATTAATTTGGTTTCTTAGCGTTAAATGGATATCATAGCTCATTATCATGGATATAGAGAATTGAAGTCACATGACAAAGAACACTTTTATTTCTTGGTCATGGAAAGTTTTCTTTCATACATTTAATATGAATCATGTGTAATCGTGTCGGTTATCTGAAAATCTCTCAAGACATTACTGACACAGTGTCGTTTAAGAATTATATTTCATACAAAAAAGGTGTTTTTTTTAAAATTGAAAAAGCAAGTAATTTTAATAGGTATCAATTATGTAATCCCAAAATTTTTTATCTGCATTTCATTACACATCTCAAAACGTTATAACACACCATCTTATACTACCCTTAAGCCCCAAAGGAAAAGTTGTGACTGTTATGTAATTAAATACCGTTTGGAATGAGAACACATACCTAACCTAATTTTTGAGACTGTAAACTTATATAAAAAAAGGACAGACTAATCAAAAATGAAAGTAAACGTCTTACAATGATCTCACATAATTATTTTTGATTAATTTTTCCCTAACCACATTGTTAAACAGTAATTTATTATTTATGTACATTACTTTCTTTACTTTTTACTGTACGATTAGGTCGCACTTTTAAAAGACATGCTTACAATTCCAGCATTAGCCTACTCATAATTTATAAATGATGAGAAACACACGTCATGTGATCATACTAAAATATAAAATATGACAAAGCATAACATAAATGAAGTAAGAATGGGGGCCATTGAAATGTGAACCTGTCCAGTGTTAGTTGCACTTTCCTCCTTCAAAGTGGATTGTGTTGTTGGAGCTTCTGAGTTCAAAGTGCTAGACACTGATGTCAAAAGATCTTTATTTCCACACCAGCATGAAATGACAAAATATTTCCATTATCAAAAGAGTAATTAAATTTAATAAAGTTTTTTCCTAACAACGAAACAATTATAAGAATAAAAAACTTCATAAAACAACTAATTTTGTAAAATACCATCAATGTGTATGAAATAGAAAACATTTTTTTTTTAAATCATGCCAGAAAAAAATGTAATTACATGTAGGTTAAAATACAAGAATAAAAGTACGTATGACTGTGTTTGACATGCAAAGAGTTATGGAATGAGTGCAGTGAATGTAAGTTTTAAAAAAAAATAATTTATGTTTGTTAAATTTTATGTACAGCGTGGTGAGTCAAACCCTAGCCTGGGGTACCACACTACATAAAACCACTCATATAAGTAATAATAACAATATTATATCTTTTATAAACGTAGACCTTAACAATATGCATCTAAATTTCGAATCGTCGTGTAAGCTTACTACTTACTACACATTCAATGCCAACCGTATAATTTGTATTTCTAGTTTTAACGTTATACGTAACGTTCGAGGATGACATTAGGGCTATGCCTGTAATTGTTGCTAAATATCTCTAAGCCATATTACAAAAAGTCTGTCCCATTTACAGTTATTTATAAAATTATGGAACCACTAAAAGATCATCACTGTTTCACTTTAAGTCAGGGGTCTCAAACTCGCGGTCCGCGGGCCATTTGAGGCTCACAAGATGATATTTTGCAGCCCGATACCTCACTGTAAAGTTTAGTGTTAATGCCACCCGTGCGTTTTCACAAATCTTATATCTATAATGTGACCCGTCACTACGGTTTCAGTCGAATCTCATCCACCAGTCCAAGTTTTAAAAAAAAAATATATTTGTGTATTTTCGGACGTTAATTATAATGGGAAAAAACGTTTGGAAATCGGGTTAACATTTTTATTTTATAGCGTTTTTTGAGACAAGCATGGCCAAATGGCACTTTTGAGGAAACACGCTTCAAATATTGTATATCTATAAATCAAATCAGTTGAACATTACTGAATCTGTGATCTCTCTCTTGTGGGAGACTTAATGAGGCCCAGTCTCACTCAGACTCGACCTCCTGCGCCCCCGGATAATTTGGGTTTGAGACGCCTGCTCTGATTTAATTTCAATATAATATGACATCGATCTGTTGGATTGTTTCATCATCTAAAGTTGTAGCCTGTTGAACTTAGTTTGCTGTCGCATATAGAATAGCACGGCCTTGGAAATTTGGCGCAACAAATTGAAGGCAAAGCATCAAGTAATTTTCATCCGATTTGAATGGGGTATATTGGAAAATTTAACCTGAATATTTATCTTAGGGTTAACAGTATGTCCCTTCTTTTGGAACGTGCTCCTATCGGGAATCCTATTTTACTTTGACAGAGGAACGATCACACCTTTGGCATAATAAGTGGTGGCACCACTCTTTATCATTAACTGATATATTATCAGTGCTTCAAATTCACTGTTCACGAGGTTTTTTTTTTTTTTTTTTTTTTTTTTTTTTTTTTTTTTTTTTTTTTTTTGGGGAAAATTTTTTTTTTTTTGTGGTTTTTTTTTTTTTTTTTTTTTTTTTTTTTTTTTTTAAGGCATTATTTATGGGAGAAAATGTTTTTTTGATTGGTAAGAAATTTCCGTAAACAACGCAAAAGTCAGGAGGTAAGATCATGTCACATTTGGCTGCGATCAGTTAGTTGGGTTTCTTTTAAAACACACGTGCATAATACACACAAACATAATACATGCATACATAATACACACATTCATAAAACACATATGCATAATACACATGCATACATACCTACGTTAAATTGTCTTTATCAATGCCTCACCTTTTTCCATGCACAAAATTTTCTTAACGTCGCTGCAGTCGCCATTGTATAATTTTCCGGAGGAAATATAAGCGCAATTGTTATCTGGATTCTTGCTCGGTTCACCATCAGCCCAAAATCTGCCTAGTTCCGTTGCTTCATTGCCTGTAGACAGCCATGTCCATCTCCCCGTCTTGTTATCGGCTCCAATCCAGACCTCGTCTCCTGTTTCATTTAAATATGTTTTTTGTTATTCCATTGGATACTAATGTTTGTAAAATAGTTTTATTAGCTACGTTTAATGTCATCTAAAATAATGTATATTATTATGTCATCATCCTTGACACTAGTCCCCGCGGAGAGCTCTGGCGCGCCTTACCACATCATTTCCACTCAGACCTATTCAAGGCCTTTCGTTTAAGCGTACGGTCCCGAAGCTGATATAAATCCGACTCTCTACATCATCAGTCCATCCATATCTTTTAAAAGATTTTCAGCCACATTCCATTTGGCACCATACACCAAATAACTAAAAAGATTCTGCAACTTAAAATGGCTCTATCACCAAATCTAAAATGTCAGTTAAGAAGATCCTGAAATCGCGCAGTCACAAACATATGCACCAAATTCAAATAATCATAAGATATTTAGCTGCTGGTTGCTAAGGATGCAGAAGCGCCGGATTACACCCTAACAAGGGAGTAAGAGCAAATCGAATAGAAGATTGCGATTCGGATGGTGTTCGGTTACGTACATTTAAAAAAAACAGAACTCAGCTCTATATGAGCAAGTTGCCACCAGAACACCAGGGTGTCAGAGGCAGTGGCGTAGCCAGGGTTAGTGCCGCCTGTGGCATGCCAAAAAGTTTGTCGCCTCCCACCCCTCCTCCTTTCCGCGAAAAAACTCTGCAGTTGTTCGATGTGGCATGAGAGAGAGAGAGAGAGAGAGAGAGCAGGGTGAAATCGGAGCAGATGTGAAAAGGTTGCATCAGATCCGGTTTGAAACAAAATAGGTTACCACCAGAGCAGGATGTCACATTAGAATGTTTCCCCAAAAGAGACATTGAACCATTTGTCTTTTAAACAAATTCTAATGTGTAAGAGCTTCTAAAAGAGACTAACAAAATCTCACTGTGAAAGTCAATAAACTTTATGTTTTTAACCACTAGATGATTCAATAAAAAAATAATACATTTTAAAAAGAAAACGGTTGAAAATTGTCCGTAAATTTATAATTAGTCAAAGGTGTGGACAGTCGTGATATGCGCTCCCCCCTCATGAAATAACTTTGATCAAGAATAATAAACGTTTATGGTATGGCGGGAGGGGGGAACGTAACATGAAATAATACTAGTTAGATTCGACCTGTCCACAGGTGGATTGCCATCGCTGACAAGTGATTAACTTTCATAAACAAACAAAAATGTAATTGTGTAATGGTTACAGCTAATTAATATTAAGACACGAAAAACCTAAATTATGATATATTTTCCCCCATAAACCGTCATTATGTACTCGGGTAGCCATAAATACGTTTTAGTTTAGTTTGGATACTTTATCTCATCTAGATTCATTTTAGATAAAAATTATTCTCCTTTCCATTGCGTCGGTTTCACTTTATATCACATGTGTCAAACTCAAGGCCCGCAGGCCACATCCGGCCCGCCGTACAATTATATCAGGCCGGCGAGGTCTTGACTAGCGTACAATTATATCCAAGTCAACGCTAAGGTGTTTCCCAATGCACACTTTGCTGAAAAACTTAGCTTACTTCGCGCAAAGTTCACATGCCACTTTAGTGACTTTGAAAAGAAAAGACAAGTAATTTTGAGCTGTTTCGTTACCCCTTTGTTATAGGCGTGGAAACTGCACCTGTAAATTTGCAGATGGAGCTAGTAGAGCTGCAGTGTAATGGAACACTAATGGCAAAGTACGACAGTTGGGCCTGCACAATTCACTCGTTCGTTTCATTCCTGAAGAGATGCCCCAGCTTCGTCTACATGCGGCTCGAACCTTGAGCATGTTGGATAGCACATGTCTGTGTGAGCAGCTGTTTTCTGTGATGAAGATTAACAAAAAATCGCACAGGAGTCGTCTCACAGATGAACACTTGGAGTCCATCATGAGAATCTCAATGGCACAGAACGTTACTCCCAACATAAACGAACTGGTTTTTGTAGCCAAGAAAATGTGCCAAACAGCCAGCTCTGACAAATTGGCATAAGACAGAAAATGGATATAATGATTTTTAATTATTAAAACTGTTTCTTTTTCATTTATATAAATTAAATTTAAAAAAAATAATTTTCCACTTATTGATTGTTAATCCCGTTCGGCCCGCAACCTTACATATAAATATAGTTTTGGCCTGCCGAACGATTGAGTTTGACACCCCTGCTTTATATGATATGTTCAACATTGTTTCTCAATGCTAACTTAGTAGCAGAATATTCAGCCTTTTAAGCACTCATTTTGTGATGGAACTTAAGTGGAACATTTCTTTGATCGATATACTTGTGGTATTTCAACATTTAAAGAAAAAAGTATTTATTGTGTCCATTTGTGTAAAGGGTAACATTTTATGCACGATTTTTATATGTGTATTTAATGTTGTACACTAATATTAATAGAATATTAGTCGTTATTTATTTGCGCCCGTTCATTAATATCGTTGGGTAAAGTATAAGTGGGGATGAAGCCATAAAAAACGTTAGCAGGGGAAGGGTTAAATAATCTAGAATTGCCTTAAACCTCATTTTAGGGCAGCCATGTTAAAATAAATGCATCGGAGCAAAGCTTCTGTTGTTACAACAAATGCAATACTTTTAACACGTGTGTAAATGTATGTGTATGTTTATAAAATAATATATACATTTTGAGGGCGGAGAAAAAATTAAGAGTGAGACCACCGCGTGAAATTTGTTGAACTATATTATATCAAGTTTAGTTTTCGGGTCAATTTTTTATTTATTTATTTATTTATTTAGGCATTTTTATATAGCGCTTATTCAACCTGAAACATTATCTTATTACCTTATGATGTTACCGGCTTAGATACATTTTGATTGCTAAATTTAAATTAAAACACGTTTTCAGCATTTACTGATTTTATGCAATAACCAAAACTAACAGCATAATATTGTATTCGGATATATTTTATTTTTTTTAGTGGAAATTTGGAAATTTAAAAAAAAAATAGACAGCTACGCAAATTACTACTGTGTTTCCGAAATAAGTATTGGAAAAAGAAGTCCTTATCGAGCTAATATTTAAATAAAATATTTTTATAAATTAAAAAAAAATAATTAATTATTGCCGATTATACGATGGCATGAAATCCAGGAAGTGGTCGCCTAAAGTCAGTTAGAAAAGCGGTGACTTTTCAAGGCGTCTGTTGAGTTATTTGCTACCAAGATAATGATAATCACAGTCTTAACAGGCAACAGAAAATTGGAGGAGAATTTCTGAGATAGCTCTATCTTGTGTCTCAGATGAGAAAAAAACCAGTGTAGTGATTTATGGAAACTGGGGGACGAAGCCAACAGCCAGTATTGTTGTGAACACATTGATTGTTTCTGGATATTCGAGTCAGCTTTTTTAATAACTGGACATCGCAAAAAATTTGATCTCCTTCAATACGCCAAGAAACGCGACAGACTTTCTGCATGGATAGAGTTTAACCTTCATCGAATCAGACATGTGTGCCCTTAAGTAGCCACGATAAAACTTGAACATTTTGCAAATTTTAGATACTCTAAAAAAAAACAACGTCTACCTTCACCAAATGTGCCACAATAGAGCAAGTGAAATGGGCTCTTTGTTAGCGGGTGACCTGGTAAGACAGCGACTGAACGTCTCTATGTCGGAGTCCCGCACGACAGACGCAACTCGGAGGTGTCACATCGGGTTTGCCTCTTCGTGGTGTGCCGGACTAGTAGGGAAATCTTTTCTCCCGAAGCCAAAAACCCCGGCCACTTGCATGACACCCAACACAACGGAAGTAACGCAATAACATGATTTCTTGTTGCCGATAATGGATATGAGGTCTGGGTGGCGGTATATACCCTTGCCGATGATTTTAGTTACGGGCCCTGAGACGGCCGCTCCTAGGCGACCGTTTCGAGTAGGTAACGCAAAACCTTCCCAAGTTCAGACCCGAGAAGAGTGGTCCGCGAAAGCTTTAAACGCAGCGTTTTCAGTCGACCAAACGTCGCCCAGACCAAAGGGGGGGGGGAGGTTCCCGGCGTGCCTCCGCATGGTCTGGTGGCGTGGACATCCGGCGTCTTGCCCGTGTGGAGTATGCGGGGGGGGGGAATTATAAGCTCGCGATCGACGACCCACCGACGTCATCTCCAATGTGAGGTTAGGGTTTAAAGATATCAAAGGTTTTTAACAGGATCATTGATCAGTGACGCAGACGATTAACAAAATTAAAATTGTTTAAATTTAATTACAATAAACTTGTTTTGTTTTTGGATAATAATAAAAAATCCTTTTGATCCTTTTTTTTTTGTTTGTTCAGAATTTAATGGTTAGCAAGAACAAAACTTTCTTTGAAATCATAAAATACGCTCCTACTTCTTATGCACCTCGGTGTATATCTATCTATCTATCTATCTATCCATCCATCCATCCATCCATCCATCCATCCATCCATCCATCCATCCATCCATCCATCCATCCATCCATCCATCCATCCATCCATCCATCCATCCATCCATCCATCCATCCATCCATCCATCCATCCATCCATCCATCCATCCATCCATCCATCCATCCATCCATCCATCCATCCATCTATCCATCTATCTATCTATCTATCTATCTATCTATCTATCTATCTATCTATCTATCTATCTATCTATCTATCTATCTATCTGTCTGTCTATCTGTCTATCTGTCTATCTGTCTATCTATCTGTCTGTCTGTGTGTCTGTATATATTTGAATTTGGAGATGGCATCGGTGGGACATCGAGCGTGAGCTCTTAAAATCACCCCCATATACTATTATCTTTTTGTATAAATAAAGAAGCTTAAATGATGATCAAGGGCTATAGGAATATTGCCTGCGTGCTCTTTGGATGACCCTGTATCAAATATTTAAATAATGAAATGTATTATTAATTATATCGAAATGTTTTCAAGTATTGGATAAGACAAAGGTATTTAACTTAATGATTTCAATCTTACCTGTCGGTATTTTGCCCAAGTAATCTTCAATTGGTTTTATTGAGCTTAATGCAGCGAGTACTCCGCCGCGATCTTTGCAATTATTCTTTAGACAAATATAGATTTACAATGTAAATTTTCTAGTTTTTTCGGAAGAGACTAAATTAAATAATTCAAAGCCTAATGGACAATGTAAAAGGGAAATTTATTATATATATATATATATATGTATATATATATATATATGTTCACTTCAAAGTTTAAAGCTTGTTAAGAACATATTTATTTGCAAAATACGTACACATTTTAAACACATTCAACCATGAAATACAAAGTTTTGGCCAATTGGTCCATTTTTTTACCTTAAATTTCAACAAACTGCCCTTACCCCATCATTCTGCTTGAAACATTGAAATTCTAAAGAACATCACAACTTATGTATACGAATAATTATAAGTATAGGTTTTGTTGATATAAGAATGTGAACATGAGAGAAATCGGTTTTAAATCATCATTTCCTTCATCTTCCCCTGTAAAAAAAACAAACAAATAATTTTGGTGTTTTTTTTTTGGGGGGGGGGGGGTTGGATTTGGGTTGGGCGCTAATGTGTTGTCAGCAACGAGTCTATGCACCGAGTTTCAGCTCGATAGTTAGACGGGGAAAATGTCCTTTAGACCACCTGAAGATTTTACCACCCAGTCTATCCATTAATTATATAATATTAATAATATTTTATGGACTTAATTACACTCTCTTTATTAAAGGTTGTGTTGTTGTTTTTTTACTCCATGTCATTGAAAGCGGGGACTAGTATGAAACTAATGTATTCAAAATGTATTGTAAAAAGGAATGTAGTTCGAACGGAATTAGTTTCAGTGGAAGTTTGTCAAATCGGAAATGATGAAAACATTTTTTTTTAAATGTTATAAATAAGTTTACTTTGTCCTCATTTTTAATCGAACGTTTATCGAACATTAAAGAAAAATAATTTAAAAAATCCGTTAAATAAACATTAGTTTGAAAAAAAATCCGTTTGAACAAACTTCATTATGATATTAAACGACACTTCGTCATTTTTTAAATTACATCCTTGTATTAACAATTAAATCATAATGGTATGTATCCGGATAATTTCATAAAGGTTTTTAAATCGTGTTAACCGTTGCTGTGGAATACGCCATTGGAACAGCGTAGTAGAGAAAGCATGAGCCCTCGGCGTATACTGAGTCCTTCCATTGACAGGGCCCTGTAATGTTAAGGAAATAAACTGTTAAGGATGATGAACTCATTTATCTAAAATTCTTTTGTTCAAATATTATTTAAGAGTTGTAAATCGTAGGATACGGATGAGTATCTGATGGAAAGTAAATTATATATCTCTTAAGCCTCGAATGGGTAAAACTAATCTAAAATACATAAACTCTTACACGGTTGGCTAGTGACACTCGTGTAGGCCAGGCCGAAGAGTAAAAGCCCTCCTTGCAAACATGTTATACGAGTCATGGCCTCAATGTAAAAGATAGAAGTCATTATTTACAAATAGAGTATGGTAAGAGATTGTTTAATGGTTTTAGTTAAAACATTAAGTGATGACATAGTATTCTGTACATAATACAAAAAAGCACGGTTCTTAAGGAGTTGAGAACTGCTTGGCGACACGCAGTGCACACCGAAAGCCTAAGGAACCAGTCATGCGCAACGGTATCTCGGTTGACTGACTATTCGGAAGGTGTCGTACACTAGAACATATATGTTTATATCATAAGATGAATTTAACTGAAGGGGAAAAAAATGAATATTACCAATAATATATACGAGTGCCGAGTGCCGTATAACACAGAAACAATAAATGAGATTCCTTAATGAAGCCTTCCCCTGCTAGTGACGTGTTTTTAAAAAAAATGGTCTAACGGAATCCCCAACAAAATGCATCACTACATATATATGTCATGCTGTAACTTTTTGAAACAAATCATGTCTCCTTTTCTAATGGCTGTTAGAAATTAATCGCATTTCCTCAGATTGCCCTAAGAGAGAGTTTCACCACACCAAAGGCTATACAATGTGGTCACGTCGGATGTCCGGTTTAAAAAGTGAATTTAACAAAATAATAAAGTTTAGGCATTTTTTTTATTGTTAATAGTATCCTTAATGTAATTTTTGTTTAAATTCGATAGTCATACACGTACAGATATATGCAATGTGAATTTAATTTAAAAGAAAAGAACAATTCTTGGAAAATAGTTGTTCTTAATGTCCTTTCTTCCAACAGTGAATTAAAGCGATGGGTTGCATTGAGAAAGGACGTTTAGATATTCCCAAATACAACATTGCCATCCCATCCATTTAATAAGTGACATAATTTACGATAAAAATTAAATCCATTTATAAAGCTTACATATGTTTGTTTAAGTAATATTATTATTAGTATTCTGATCATTGTTGTAAGAATCGAGGCAATAGATGGAGAATGATTTGACGTCACTATTGTCTATAATCAAAATGTAAGTGACATAAATAATTGATCGATCTGCGCGTTAATCATGTCAGTATTTTAAAATAACAAATTTTCTATCAAGGAAAATGCCATAGCTTGTTAGCTATGGGGGGGGGGCGCGGAGGTCAGAAAAGTGCATTGATGCAAAAAAGGAAATCATTTCCAGAACCACCCCGAACCACCACACCCCCCCCCCCTTTTTTTTTGTCCTTAATCAAAATGTAAGTGACATAAATAATTGATCGATCTGCGCGTTAATCATGTCAGTATTTTAAAATAACAAATTTTCTATCAAGGAAAATGCCATAGCTTGTTAGCAATGGGGGGGGCGCGGAGGTCAGAAAAGTGCATTGATGCAAAAAAGGAAATCATTTCCAGAACCACCCCGAACCACCACACCCCCCCCCCTTTTTTTTTGTCCACTAACTACTGAGAACGGCTCGGTTTATACATAAGTAAACTTTGTCTATCGAAGGTATTTTGTATAAAACTAATGCTGAAATCTCAGTGTTCCATTAAATAAGAAATATTTAAATGCATTTAAGTTCCATGTATTAATTGTCATAGAAGATTTTTAGAAAGATTTTAACCACATATTCATATCAACATAAGACTACAGCCCAGAAACAATTTACCCTACAAAATTTGAGTCAATCTTAAATTTATGATTTAAAATTAATTAAATTTCATCTTTCTTAACTACAACTGATGTCACAAGTAGTACACAGAGCTAAAGGTACTAGTGGCACGGGAGACAAGATAGAATAGGCTTGTAACGAGAAGACCTGGGCAATCAGAAAGTACTTCTCGGCTAGATAAACATAATTGACTTGACAAGACCGAAATGTTTCGAATACAGACAAACAAAATACAGGGCGGCGATATTCTGATCGTCTTGGTTTGTCGCAAAAAGATAATGCTACTAAAAAGATACATACACACGCACACAGACACACAAAAAGAAAGAACCTGTTAAAGTCAGGACGTTCCATTAAATCTCAGTTGAGCCCGAAAGTCAATAAATAAATAAACGAACACAACTCAACGTTTTAAGTATTTGAAGTGACAACATACCTCAAGCAGGATACAAGAAAATGTAATGAGGTAGGCCCCGTAAACTTTTTAAATAGGGCAGGACGGTTTTATACTTTACCTGCGCTGGTTCTCAAATTGTATGGCGCCAAAAAAAAAAAAAAATCAACTTCCGACAAAATTTCCTCCACTAGAATTCTTGTAAAAATCATTTAACTTGAACATAGATGTTGTATTCAACCATAAGGTTTTCAATAAAACATTAGTTTATACCTGGTAAGGGATGCGTGACAGTCACACATACATCCACTCACATATGGGACTAGGCATAATACACAACACTTAATTGAGAGAGACTTACTTTTTAAAGGCAGCAAATCCCATTGTGTCGGGCATAGAAGTTTATGATTGCATTTAACGTTAACTAAGGTTAGGTGACATCAAATGCATATATATATATATATATATATATATATATATGTATATATATATATATATATATATATATATATATATATTATTCTTACCACACAATTATATTTTGCTACACGTTTTGCTACAATAGTCCTTTTTTGAGGAACAACGAAAAAGTCAAACACGTATGTTTTAAGACTGAAAAATATACGTACGATGATTGTACAAAAAAAATTAAAAAATCAACAGCATACTTCCATTTATTTGTATCAATAAAAGTATCTTATCTTATCTTAAAGATATTTATTGTGTTAATTTTTCTTTAGGAACGTTTTACTAAAAAAACTATCTTAAATACATTCCTTAATTATTCTTAGCTGATTCTTAACGTTTTGCTCTTAAAGTGGCGTGCGTCTTTTGGACATAGTTACACCTGAAGAGACGAGTCTACTGTACATTTTTTGAACGATACCAACTCGAGCCGGACAGTGAACAACGCAAGTGGCATATCATTGAATTTTGATTATGATGAAACAAAATGCTAGTTATCCTGTGTGGGTTGTGTCTATTTGCCATTGGCATTTATCGAGCAGAGCGGAAATAGCAGATGATTGTGTTACAGAACCTTCCCGTAGACACCGACCGTCCAATGCCTTTAAATAAAACACGAAGCCATTATAGAGTAGAGATGATATGCAAAGTCGGCTGAACCTGTTTCTTCATAATGGGGTTGTTGTTAAGATAAAATTATATTTAATGAACCATGAAATTAAACGACAGAAACCACGAGGAGCGTATCGCCCAAAAGCCTTATTCATTGAAAATAAAAGGAAATAAAAGCACAGTAAATGTAAAAAAAAATCTTAGCACTAGAGACCAACCGAATGTCGGCTTCGGTTTCGAAAGTGGCTATTTGATCACTTTCGGCCTAATTTCGGTTTCGGCCGAAACCAAAAAGTTAAATTTCGGTTTAATTTCCTCTTCGGCCGAAAATGAAATGTTAACTTTCGGTTTAATTTCGGTTTCAGCCGAAAGTGATTGGGACTTTTTTGGGACTTTATAAATATAAACATTTATATTTATAAATATTTGTGTGTTCGCGTGTGCACATATTAATGCTTATCCTCGGACATGTTGATGAATACCGGCGATAATTACAGTTCTTGGTGTCGTCATCATCAGGAACGATCAATCAAATCAGTTTATATATTTACTATTCTCTATCTTAATTTAAGAAATAGTTCGTAGCCCAGTTGCTGGAGCACATAGATGGGTATTTCTTGTCCCACATGTAAAGATGTTAGCGTTCGATTACTTATGTATTTTTCTCGAATATTTGTACGCTGATAATTAGAGTAGGCCCTGATGGTGTTGGTGCTAAACCGAAACAAGTTACTGAAGGTGAGTTGATTAGCATTATTTTAGAAATTTTTCGAGTTTTAACTGCTAATGAAGTAATGTCATCACAATTATGCTTGACTGCCACTTCTAAACAGTGAGGTAATGATACAAACGAAATATACACGCAAAGATCAACAAATTAAAAAAAAAACACCTAATTTTGGTTGGTTGAAAAATTGGTGTGTGGCGTGGGGGTTGGGTTGGGATGAGAGAATCGAATTTGTGCCTAGAAATTCAATGTCCAGTTAAGTTGTTGTAAGATTGTAATTTTCAGATGTTGCTGTTTTAGTCTTGTAGGGTTGTTGTAGTGTATTTAATTTTTAGCTGTAGTGTTGTTGTTGTTGATGTAGCATTTTTGGGGTTGTGTTGTATGTGTATTGTTTTTGTTGTAAAGCTGTTGCTGTATTTGCTTCGTTTTGTTGTTAAGTTTTGTTATTTGTTTCGCTGTTGTTGTGTTGCTTTTTAGTTTATAAAAAAGTCTAATTGCTCAGCACGTATTCTAATGTTAAATTAAATATTTCTCGATGAATCAATACGATTCCTCGTTAGATATTCCATACATAAGTTAACGTGCGCTCATTATTTCCCAAATTGTTGTGATCGTAAATGTAGTTCTCCTAGCCTATTGTCCAATCTCTAGAGCGACTTCGGTTTAATGTGGTTTAATTTATTTTGATCAAAGTCCATATCGATTACTTGGGAGTTCTGGGCGCAGCTGATCATATTCCATATCGATTACTTGGGAGTTCTGGGCGCAGCTGATCATATTCCATATCGATTACTTCGGAGTTCTGGGCGCAGCTCCTCCAGTTAACTGATCATATGTTGTTTGGTTAACAAAAATAGTTTCTATAATGTTGTATGCAACGGGTTTAAATTAATGACCATACAGCTAGATCAGTTTGTCATGTCTTTAAAGTAGCGTGAATACAGCTAGATCAGTTTGTCATGTCTTTAAAGTAGCGTGAATACAGCTAGATCAGTTTGTCATGTCATTAAAGTAGCGTGAATACAGCTAGATCAGTTTGTCATGTCTTTAAAGTAGCGTGAATACAGCTAGATCAGTTTGTCATGTCTTTAAAGTAGCGTGAATACAGCTAGATCAGTTTGTCATGTCATTAAAGTAGCGTGAATACAGCTAGATCAGTTTGTCATGTCTTTAAAGTAGCGTGAATACAGCTAGATCAGTTTGTCATGTCATTAAAGTAGCGTGAATACAGCTAGATCAGTTTGCTACGTTTTTAAAGTAGTGACCATGCAGCTGGATTGGTTTGCCGGGGTTTTTGAAGTAGTGACCATGCAGCAAGATCATTTGTCTCGTGTTTAAAATAGTGATTATACAGCTAGATCAGTTTGTTACGCGTCTAAAACGTAGACCATATAGCTAGAACGGTTTGATACGTGTTTAAAGTATAGACCATAGAGCTAGAGCGTTTTGCCACGTTTTTAAAGTAGTGACCATATGGCTAGAGCGGTTTGTCGAAGATAATTTTCAGATTTGGGCAACCAATTCTGGCAAATAAAGTTGATGATATTGACGTGTGTGGCCAACCTCATCGCGTGTCTGAACTTGATTCTTTCAAACATGGTATTGACGTGAGTGGGTAATATCATTACGAATCTAAACTGTTTGTCCTATAAAATTACATATCTATATTGACTTAACTGTAATGACAATTGTTAGTAAAAAATATGCCTTGGACTAATGAAAATCGTTATACCGGATTTAATGTCTTTCAGATTTCCTTATTTTTTAATTGCTCTGCGTCCGTCACGATGTGACGATGGTGAAGACTTTGCAGAAATCCACAAGGCCTGTGATAATTCTCTTCAGCATTATAGGCTGGTTCCCTGCACAGCAGTCGCTTCTGTCGACGACGCTGGGAACATCGAATGTGGGTTGTATAGCTTGGCACCAGTGGTGTCGCAAGTGTTCGGAATTTTTCATTGTGTCAATGTTATCCGCCAATGGGACTCCAGCTCGGGTTTTGAATTCAGAGTTTTATTCTCTTAGATGAGTTGCCATCCAAGGTTATCGAGTTATCGAGTCCCACCCACCCGGTAGGGATTGAACTCCAGACCACAAAATTGAGATTGGCTCAGTTTAGACAACTTGGCTACCCAGCCTCCCACATTTGGCTGGTTTTTTAAAAGTTTCTCCACAAAATGAAATCAAAGTTTAAAATAATAAAACTAAAGTCATAAATTGAATAATGTCATCAATCTTTCAAATCTTGCCAAACTTTGGCGACGGCAGTGAGTGAACCTCGTCTTCTTCTTATGCTTTTTTACTCTTGCTGGGCATATTCC